AGGAAGTTGACAGACAGGAGGTACTGCAGGTAGGAGTGGAAAACAGCCATAAGACTTGTGCTGGGGGAAGAAGAGAGAGAGAAAGGCAGCACTCTTGCTTGTTTTCCCATGGAAGTTCCCAAGATGCAAGGGGTTTGCAATGTCATTTTCCAACAATCATTTGTGGTTTCAGAGATGAGAGAGACTGAGCAACTGCTGTAAATCACATTATCCACTTATTAACCAGCTTTGCTGCTGCTCTTCTCTTCTGCAAGAGCATCATCGTTTTGCTACAGAAAAAAACACTCCTTCTTTTATCACCCTCTCTCAGAGAAAGAGGCATGTGTTAGCAGAGCACCAGTTAAATATTGCTCTGCTTTTTGATCAAAAGGCAGTGCAGGCTGTTGGCACACTTACCACAGCACAAAGTCTTAAGTTTCTCTGGAAGCTGAGATACCTCCACATACATGGACGAGCTATATTAATACAGAAAGATGTGTTGTCGTAGAGAAGGGAATTTGCTAAATACAGTCTTCCAGAGACATTTCAGATATCTAAATCAATGTCTGAAACAAAAGCTTCACATCAAACAAGTACCAAGGCTCATTTAATGAGTTAGCAAAAGTCCAGATAGTCCAGAGGGACGTGTGCAGTATTTCATAGTAGCAGGAGCTTCTCCAGAGGCTTATCCTCATATTCGTTCACGACACAACCACAAGCCTAGCCGAGGCCATGTCTTGGTCAAACAGGGTAGGCCTGGCACCCCTGTGGAGGGAGAGGCAGCACTGCAGGGAATACCATGCAAGAGCTTCGGATTAGCATGCGGTTGCAAAGTACTCACCAATAAGAGACTAAAACGCTACCATCTGAAGAGCACCTTTAGCCAGGGAAGGTTGCTGTCATGATTTTCATTTTGAAGCCCAATTTCTTTTAACAAATAATAACTTAAAAAAAAAAGACAGACAAAAAAAAGTCACACCAGTTTTGACCATCTCCTGCTCACATAAAGTGGTGCAAACACTCCCATTATTCCAAAATATATTACATTCTAGTCTGTAGGGCGAGAGCTGTCTGGAGCCCATGGGTAGACTAGAAAATACTTCACCTACACGTGACAGAAGCACCCCAGCTTGCTTCTCTCTTCTCAGAATCAGAATAGAAACCACTGAATACTTTCTGTACAGTTAACTACCTTATGATGCCCCATTAGCAACATCCCCTGCAATGATTCTAAATTTTCTGTTTTGAATATCCTGCAAAAACCTCCCTTTATTACCGCAGCATAGCTACTCTGGATGTCTCAGGAGTGTTAACCACCTCGTGGGTCAGCTCCAGGTGCTGCATAGCTCCACCTCCCATCTCTGAGTATGGGGAGACCTTCCCTCTGCAGAATAAGCTTCCCAAAGCCTTTCAGTTTATCAGTCTTGTCATATAGAGAAACTGGGGAAAGTCTGGCTACATCTGTATTTATTGAGTGCAGGTTCATGGGAGGATAACAGGATGAATGCCATCAGCCAGGCATGAGGAGACTTTCACCTCTCTTATAAGGAAAGGCTGAGAGACCTGGGTCCGTTCAGCCTGGAGAAGGCTGAGAAGGGATCTCATCAATGCTTACAAATATCCAAAGGGCAGGTGTGAAGAGGATGGGGCCAGACTCTTTTCAGTGGTGGCCAGCGACAGGACAAGGGGCAACAGGCACAAACTGGAAGAGGGTAAAATTAGAATAAATATTAGGAAGAAATTTTTCACTCTGAGGGTGGTGGTGAGCCATTGGCACAGGTTGCCCAGGGAAGTTGTGAATGTCCCATCCCTGGAGGTGTTGAAGGCCAGGCTGGATGCGGCTTTGAGCAACCTGGTCTGGTGGGAGGTGTCCCTGCCCATGGCAGGGGGGCTGGAACTCGAAGGTCTTTACAGTCCCTTCAAACCTAAACCACTCTATGAAACTGGAACATGGGAAATTCCATCTGATCATCAGGAAAAACTTTACTTTGAAGGTGACAGAGCACTGGCACAGGCTGCCCAGAGAGGTTGTGGAGTCTCCTTCTCTGGAGATATTCAAAAACCCGCCTGGACGTGTTCCTGTCGTGTTCTGTGATTCTGTGGTTCTGTGTCCAACCTGCTCTGGGTGGCCCGGCCTTCGCGGGGGGG